TGTCCCCAGGTGTCCCCAGCTGTCCCCAGGTGTCCCCAGGTGCCCAGCTGTGCCCAGGTGTGCCCGCAGGCCGTACCTGGCAGGAGTCCCTCCCGCCCTGCAGGTGCCCCAGCTGTCCCCAGGTGTCCCCAGCTGTCCCCAGGTCTCCCCAGGTGTCCCCAGGTGTGCCCAGCTGTCCCCAGGTGTGCCCAGGCGTCCCCAGGTGTCCCCAGCTGTCCCCAGGTGTCCCCAGGTGCCCAGCTGTGCCCAGGTGTGCCCGCAGGCCGTACCTGGCAGGAGTCCCTCCCGCCCTGCAGGTGCCCCAGCTGTCCCCAGGTGTCCCCAGGTGTCCCCAGGTGTCCCAGCTGTCCCCAGGTGTCCCCAGGTGCCCCAGGTGTCCCCAGGTGTGCCCAGGTGTGCCCAGTTGTGCCCAGGTGTCCCCAGGTGTCCCCAGGTGTCCCCAGCTGTCCCCAGGTGTCCCCAGGTGCCCAGCTGTGCCCAGGTGTCCCCAGCTGTCCCCAGGTGTCCCCAGCTGTCCCCAGGTGTCCCCAGGTGCCCAGCTGTGCCCAGGTGTGCCCGCAGGCCGTACCTGGCAGGAGTCCCTCCCGCCCTGCAGGTGCCCGGCGCAGATCATGTTGTCGGTGATGGAGCCGGGGTAGAAACTGCGACACTCGGCCGGGGAGAAGAGCGTGACATTGACACACTGCAGCACCTCGGGGTACGTCACTGCGGGGACACGGTGACCCTGAGTGACCACTGAGTGACCACTGAGTGACCACTGACCACTGAGTGACCACTGAGTGACCATGAGGGACACTGACACACTGCAGCACCTCGGGGTACGTCACTGCGGGGACACGGTGACCCTGAGTGACCACTGAGTGACCACTGAGGGACCACTGACCACTGAGTGACCACTGACCATGGGTGACCTCCATGGGGACCACTAGGGTTCCAAAGTGACCACGAGATCGCCACGAAGAGATGCAAGTGACCACCAGATGACCACAAGGAGACCCAAATGACCACAAGGAGACCCAAATGACCACAAGGAGACCCAAGTGACCACGACATGCCCCAGATGACCACAAGGTGCCCACAAGGAGACCCAAATGACCAGAAGGAGACCCAAATGACCATGAGATGACCACAAGGAGACCCAAATGACCACGAGGAGGCCCAAATGACCATGAGGAGACCCAAATGACCACGAGGAGACCCAAGTGACCACAAGAGGATCATGAGGAGACCCAAATGACCATGAGGTGCCAACAAGGAGACTCAAATGACCACGAGATGACCATGAGGAGACCCAAATGACCACAAGGAGACCCAAATGACCACAGGGAGAACCAAGTGACCACGAGGTTCCCACGAGGTGCCCAAATGGGCACGAGATGCCCCAGATGACCACAGGGAAACGCAAATGACCACGAGATGACCACGAGGAGACCCAAATGACCATGAGGTGCCAACAAGGAGACCCAAATGACCACGAGGAGACCCAAATGACCACAAGGAGAGCCAAGTGACCACAAGGAGAGCCAAGTGACCACAAGGAGAGCCAAGTGACCACGAGATGTCCCAGATGCCCACGAGGTTCCCACAAGGTGCCCCAAATGGCCATGAGATGCCCCAGATGACCACAGGGAAACCCAAATGACCATGAGGTGCCAACAAGGAGACCCAGATGACCACGAGGAGACCCAAATGACCACAGCAAGACCCAAGTGACCACGAGATGACCACGAGGAGACCCAAATGACCACGAGATGTTCATGAGGTGCCCACGAGGAGACCCAAGTGACCACAAGAGGATCATGAGGAGACCCAAATGACCACAAGGAGACCCAAGTGACCACGAGATGTCCCAGATACCCACGAGGTGCCCATGAGGTGCCCCAAATGACCACGAGGAGACCCAAGTGACCACAAGAGGATCATGAGGAGACCCAAATGACCATGAGGTGCCAACAAGGAGACTCAAATGACCACGAGATGACCATGAGGAGACCCAAATGACCACAAGGAGACCCAAGTGACCACGAGATGACCATGAGGAGACCCAAATGACCACGAGGAGACCCAAGTGACCACAAGGAGACCCAAATGACCACAAGGAGACCCAAATGACCACAGGGAGAACCAAGTGACCACGAGGTTCCCACGAGGTGCCCAAATGGGCACGAGATGCCCCAGATGACCACAGGGAAACGCAAATGACCACGAGATGACCATGAGGAGACCCAAATGACCATGAGGTGCCAACAAGGAGACCCAAATGACCACAAGGAGACCCAAATGACCACAAGGAGAGCCAAGTGACCACAAGGAGAGCCAAGTGACCACGAGATGTCCCAGATGCCCACGAGGTTCCCACAAGGTGCCCCAAATGGCCATGAGATGCCCCAGATGACCACAGGGAAACCCAAATGACCATGAGGTGCCAACAAGGAGACCCAAATGACCACGAGGAGACCCAAATGACCACAGCAAGACCCAAGTGACCACGAGATGACCACGAGGAGACCCAAATGACCACGAGATGTTCATGAGGTGCCCACGAGGAGACCCAAGTGACCACAAGGAGACCCAAGTGACCACGAGATGTCCCAGATACCCACGAGGTGCCCATGAGGTGCCCCAAATGACCACGAGGAGAGCCAAGTGACCACAAGAGGATCATGAGGAGACCCAAATGACCACAAGGAGACCCAAGTGACCACGAAGAGACCCAAGCGACCACAAGGTCCCACAAGGTGCCCCAAATGGCCACGAGATGCCCCAGATGACCACAGGGAGACCCAAATGACCACGAGATGACCACGAGGAGACCCAAATGACCACGAGGAGACCCAAATGACCACAAGGAGACCCAAATGACCACAAGGAGACCCAAATGACCACAAGGAGAGCCAAGTGACCACAAGAGGATCACGAGACCCAAATGGCCACAAAGAGACCCAAATGACCACGAGGTGCCCATGAGGTGCCCACGAGGAGACCCAAATGACCACGAGGAGACCCAAACTACCATGAGATGACCACGAGGAGACCCAAGTGACCACAGGGAAACCCAAATGACCAGAAGGAGACCCAAGTGACCACAGGGAGACCCAAGTGACCACGAGGTGCCCACGAGATGCCCACGAGGTGCCCCGAACCCCCTCTGGACGCCCCCCGGCCGTGCCCCCTGCCCTACCTTCAGGTGAGGTGGTGGCCCCCCAGCCCGAGGTGACGCAGGTGGTGCCGGGCCGGGGCAGGCACGAGGCCACCGGGATGGGCCGGACGCGGTCGGAGATGGCGGCGGGGGCCAGCAGCTTGAGCAGCATGATGTCGTTGTCCTTGGTGGACGGGTCGTAGCCCGGGTGGGCCACCATGCGGGCCACCATGCGGCGCTGCTCGCCCGCCTCGCGCGCGTACAGCCGGTGCTTGCCCAGGGCCACCGTGGTCACCCTGAGGGGACACGTGAGGACAGGTGAGGACAGGTGTGGGACACCTGAGGAACACCTGAGGGACACCTGAGGAACATCTGAGGGACATCTGAGGGACATGGGGGACATGGGGAACACATGGAGGGGACAGGACAAGTGGGACAGGTGAGGAACATCTGAGGAACACCTGAGGAACACCTGAGGAACACCTGAGGAACACCTGAGGAACACCTGAGGGACACCTGAGGAACATCTGAGGAACACCTGAGGGACATGGGGGACATGGGGAACACATGGAGGGCACAGGACAAGTGGGACAGGTGAGGAACATCTGAGGAACACCTGAGGAACACCTGAGGAACACCTGCGGGACACCTGAGGAACATCTGAGGGACATCTCAGGGACACCTGAGGAACATCTGAGGAACATGGGGAACACATGGAGGAGACAGGGACAGGTGGGACAGGTGTGGGACACCTGAGGAACATCTGAGGAACTCCTGAGGGACACCTGAGGGACATGGGGAACACATGGAGGGCACAGGGACAGGTGGGATAGGTATGGGACAGGTGAGGGACACCTGAGGGACATGGGGGACATGGGGGCCACCATGCGGCACTGCTTGCCCGCGTACAGCCTCGTGCGCGTACAGCCGGTGCTTGCCCAGGGCCACCGTGGTCACCCTGAGGGACAGGTGAGGACAGGTGAGTGACACCTGAGGAACACCGCCAGGGTCCCCGCCAGGTGCGCCGCGGGGGCCGCCAGGGGGCGCCACGTCATCGCCGCTGGGGGGGGCGGAGCCGAAAATTCGGGGTCAGATGGGGGAATTTTGGGGCATTTTGGGGCATTTTGGGGATTTTCGGGGTTTGGGGGGATTTGGGGATTTAGCGGCTTTTTTTTTGGGGGTCATCTGGGGTCATTTGAGTGGAGTTTGGGGTCATTTTTGGGGGAGTTTGGGGTCATTTTGGGGGGAGTTTGGGGCCATTTTTGGGGAGTTTGGGGTCATTTTGGGGGAGTTTGGGCCATTTTGGGGGAGTTTGACGCCATTTTTGGGGTGGCTTAAGGTCGATTTTGGGGGTCTTGGGGAGATTCTGGGATTTTGGGGAGATTTTGGGGAGATTTAGGGGATTTGGGTGCAATTTGGGGTCATTCTGGGGGCATTCGGGTCATTTTGGGGGAGATTCGGGGTCATTTTTTGGGAATTTGAGGTCATTTTTTGAGAGATTTGGGGTCATTTTAGGGGAGATTTGGGTCACTTTGGGGGAGTTTGGGATAATTTTGGGGCTTTTTGGGGTCATTTGGGGTCATCTGAGTGGAGATTTTAGAGATTTGGGTCATTTTTGGGGAGTTTGGGGCCATTTTTGGGGTGGCTTGGGGTCGATTTGGGGGATTTTGGGGAGAGTTTGGGGAGATTTGGGGGCATTTTGGGGTCATTTTTGGGAAATTCAGAGTCATTTTTGGGAGATTTGGGGTGATTTTAGGAGATTTTGGGGTTTTTTGGGGGCATTTTGGGGTCATGTTTGGGGTCAGTTTGGGGAATCTGGGAGATTTTGGGGAGATTTGCGGCAATTTTTGGGGAAATTTGGGTTATTTTTTGGGGGGTTTGGGGTCAATTTTGGGGTACTTTGGGATTACTTTGTGGGATTCGGGGTAATTTTGGAAATATTTGGGGCATTTTGGGGTGGTCTGGGTTTTTTTGGGGATCGTTTGGGGTCATTTGAGTGGAGCTTGGGGAGATTTGGGGTCAATTTTGGAGGATTTGGGTCATTTTGGGGGAGTTTTGGATCAATTCAGGGGCACATTGGGATCATTTTTGGGGTGGTTTGGGGCCATTTTTTGGAGTTTGGGGAAGATTTGGGGTAAATTTTGGGGATTTTGGGGTCAATTTGTGGGATTTTGGTGATTTTGGGGCACTTGGGGTCATTTTTTGGGAATTTGAGGTCATTTTAGGGAATTTGGGGTCAATTTGGGGGATTTTAGGGAGATATGGGGTAATTTTGGATATTTTAGGGTCACTTGGGGAGATTTTGAGATCACTTTGAGCTTATTTGGGGGAGTTTGGGATGAATTTTGGGTATTTTGGGGTCATTTGGGATAATTTTTGATGTTTTTGGGTTATTTTGGGGAGTTTGGGATCATTTGGGGGTAATTTTGCGCATTTGGGGTCATTTCGGGATCATTTTAGGGGCCTTTTGGGATAATTTTGGGGTTTTTTTTTTGTATTTTGGCATCATTTTAGGTATGTTTGGGTCATTTTGGGGTGAATTTTGGGTATTTTTGGGTAATTTCAGGTACTTTTGGATCATTTTTAGGTCATTTCGGGTCATTTCAGGTTCTCTCCCCCCAGTTCCCCTCCCCCCTCTTCCCCATCGGGGCCCTTTCGCAACGGTGACGTCATCGGGCCCAACCCGTTGGGGCTCGTTAACGAGGGCGTTAATTGGCCTTAATTAGCGGCCCTAATTAGCGGGCACCGCCCCGCCCCGCCCCCACCCCGGCCCGGGGCTCGGTGACCTCCGGGGACCCCGCGGGGGCCGATGGGAAAGGGGCGGGGTCTGAGAAAGGGGCGGGGCCCAGTTTGGGATCCCAGTTTGGGATTAGGTCCCAGTTTGGGGTCCCAGTTTGGGGTTCAGGTCACAGTTTGGGTCAGTTTGGGATTAGGTCCCAGTTTGGGGTCCCAGTTTGGGGTTCAGGTCCCAGTTTGGGTTCCCAGTTTGGGGTTCAGGTCCCAGTTTGGGGTTCAGGTCCCAGTTTGGGTTCCCATTTTGGGGTCCCAGTTTGGGGTGCCAGTTTGGGATTGGGGCCCCAATTTGGGACTCAGGTCCCAGTCTGGGTTCCCAGTTTGAGGCTCAAGTCCCAGTTTGGGGTCCCAGTTTGGGATTCAGGTCCCAGTTTGGGTTCGCAGTTTGGGATTGCGGTCCCAGTTTGGGGTCCCAGTTTGGGATTCAGGTCCCAGTTTGGGATTGGGCTCCCAGTTTGGGATTCAATTCCCTGTTGGGGTTCCCAGTTTGGGGTTCAGATCCCAGTTTGGGGTTGGGGTCCCAGTTTGGGGTTGGGTTCCCAGTTTGGGGTCCCAGTTTGAGGTCCCAGTTTGGGGTTAAGATTCCCAGTTTGGGGTCCCAGTTTGGGGTCCCGGTTTGGGGTCCCGGTTTGGGGTCCCAGTTTGCAGTTCGGGTCCCAGTTTGGGATCCCAGTTTGGGATTCAGGTTCCCAGTTTGGGGTCAGGTCCCAGTTTGGGATCCCAGTTTAGGATTCAGGTTCCCAGTTTGGGGTTCAGGTCCCAGTTTGGGTTCCCAGTTTGGGGTTGGGGTCCCAGTTCAAATCTGGAGTTCCCAGTTTGAATTCCCAGTTTGGGGCTCCAGGCCCCGCCCACCGGAAATTGGCCCCGCCCCTTCCCCGTGGGAACCGGAACCAGGGAGGGACTGGGACAAACTGGGATGAACTGGGACAAACTGGGAGAGTGGAACTGGGACTGGGACAAACTGGGATGAACTGGGACAAACTGGGAGAGTGGAACTGGGACTGGGACAAACTGGGATAAACTGGGATGAACTGGGAGAGTGGAACTGGGACTGGGACAAACTGGGATAAACTGGGACAAACTGGGAGAGTGGAACTGGGACTGGGACAAACTGGGATGAACTGGGACAAACTGGGAGAGTGGAGCTGGGGCTGGGACAAACTGGGATAAACTGGGATGAACTGGGACCAACTGGGCCAAACTGGGAGAGGGGGAAATTGGGGACTGGGATGAACTGGGACCAACTGGGATGAACTGGGAGAGTGGAACTGGGACTGGGACAAACTGGGATGAACTGGGACAAACTGGGAGAGTGGAGCTGGGGCTGGGACAAACTGGGATGAACTGGGATGAACTGGGAGAGTGGAACTGGGACTGGGACAAACTGGGATAAACTGGGATGAACTGGGACCAACTGGGCCAAACTGGGAGAGGGGGAAATTGGGGACTGGGATGAACTGGGACCAACTGGGATGAACTGGGAGAGTGGAACTGGGACTGGGACAAACTGGGACCAACTGGGCCAGACTGGGAGGGGACAGTAGACTGGGTTGAACTGGGACAAACTGGGACGGGGTGACAGTGAGAACTGGGGCCAAACTGGGCCAAACTGGGACTGTGGGACTGGGCCAAACTGGGAGAGGAAGAACCCGGGAACTGGGGCCAAACTGGGCTGAACTGGGACAGGGTGACACCGGGAACTGGGACCAACTGGGAGAGAAGAGACACCGGGAACTGGGGTCAAACTGGGCTAAACTGGGCCAAACTGGGACTGGGATAAACTGGCCAAACTGGGACCCTGGACTGGGTCAAACTGGGACAAACTGGGAGAAAAGGGATTGAGGCCAAACTGGGATAGAGTGACACCGAGACCGGGCCAAACTGGGCCAAACTGGGACAAGGTGACAGCAGGAACTGGGCCATACTGGGACAGGGTGACAGCGGGAACTGGGGCCAAACTGGGACGGGGTCAAACTGGGACAAACTGGGACAGGGTCAAACTGGGACAAACTGGGATGGGTCAAACTGGGAACTGGGCCATACTGGGATAGGGTGACACTGGGAACTGGGGCCAAACTGGGACAGTGGGACTGGGCCAAACTGGGACAGTGGGACTGGGCCAAACTGGGCCAAACTGGGACAGGGTGACAGCGGGAACTGGGGCCAAACTGGGACAGGGTGACACTGGGACAAACTGGGACAAACTGGGACAGGGTCAAACTGGGAACTGGGGCCAAACTGGGACAGGGTCACACCGGGACAAACTGGGATGGGTCAAACTGGGAACTGGGCCAAACTGGGACAGTGGGACTGGGCCAAACTGGGCCAAACTGGGACAGGGTGACACCGGGAACTGGGACAAACTGGGAGAGGGTGACAGCGAGAACTGGGCCAAACTGGGCCAAACTGGGACAGGGTGACACCGGGAACTGGGCCAAACTGGGATGGGGTCAAACCAGGACCTGGGCCATACGGGGACAGCGGGACTGGGCCAAACTGGGCCATACTGGGACAGGGTGACACCGGGAACTGGGACAAACTGGGAGAGGGTGACAGCGAGAACTGGGCCAAACTGGGCCAAACTGGGACAGGGTGACAGCGGGAACTGGGCCAAACTGGGACAGTGGGACTGGGCCAAACTGGGCCAAACTGGGACAGGGTGACACCGGGAACTGGGACAAACTGGGACAGGGTGACACCGGGAACTGGGACAAACTGGGAGAGGGTGACAGCGAGAACTGGGCCAAACTGGGCCAAACTGGGACAGGGTGACACCAGGGAACTGGGACAAACTGGGCCAAACTGGGACAGGGTGACACCGGGAACTGGGACAAACTGGGACAGGGTGACACCGGGAACTGGGACAAACTGGGAGAGGGTGACAGCGAGAACTGGGCCAAACTGGGCCAAACTGGGACAGGGTGACACCAGGGAACTGGGACAAACTGGGCCAAACTGGGACAGGGTGACACCGGGAACTGGGACAAACTGGGACAGGGTGACACCGGGAACTGGGACAAACTGGGAGAGGGTGACAGCGAGAACTGGGCCAAACTGGGCCAAACTGGGACAGGGTGACACCAGGGAACTGGGACAAACTGGGCCAAACTGGGACAGGGTGACACCGGGAACTGGGACAAACTGGGACAGGGTGACACCGGGAACTGGG